GGTGGCAGAAACCTACTGGTGCATGGATTAGTGCACAGGACTAGTAGTATTTTAAAAATCTAAAAAGCCAACATGCCCAACACCAAGTTCATCACTTCCTCTTGTTTAGAATACTCCTGTTCTTGGCTTCCTGCAACTATGGGCCTTAGTCCTTTTGAGCTGCTCTAACAACAATACCATCGACTGTGTGGGACATAAACAACAAACATTTATTTTTCACAGTTCTTGAGACTGGGAAGTTCAAGATCATGCCACTGGCAGATTCAGTGTCTAATGAGGACACACTTCTCTTTAACAGCCAGTTTCTCACTGTGTCCTCACATAGTAGAAAGGGCAAAAGACCTCTCTCTGTGGCCTCTTTTATAAGAGCATTAATCCCATTCATGATGGCTCTACCTGCATGACTTAATCATCTCCCAAAGGCGCCACCTATAATACTATCACCTTAGGGGATAGGATTTCAATATGTGAATTTGGGGAGGAGGGACACAAACATTCTGTCCATAGCACTGTGCTTCCTAATTCCCTATTTCTTTCAGTTTTATTTCTATTGGGGAGGGGGTGTTGTTCTTTATCCTTCTTATTCAGCACATATCCGGTTGTATTATCCTTCTGAAATGTCAATAGATTCACTGCTTCAATTCCATTCCCCTGACTATGCCATAGAATAGATCCTTATTACTATTACTTCATTTCTATTTTGACGTGGTAGTCTTCTAGTTTGTTTCCTGATTCCAGTCTCTCACCTGAGCAGTTTAAATAATTGTTCTTTCTGAGTTGGTTTTGCCTTGTAGGAGAGTATATATTTATTATTTTGCTCTTACCACGGAGACTTTAACACTTAGAAAAATTCTAGATTCATATCTCATTTAGAAGATAAATTAGTTCCCTGGCCAGATAGCTCAGTTGGTTAAAGCATCATCTCAATATTCCAAGGTTGGAAGTTCGATCCCCAGTCAGGACACATACAAGAATCAACCAATGGGTGCATGAATAAGTGGAACAACAAATCGATGTTTCCCCTCTCTCTCTCCCTTCGTACCTTTCTCTCTCCTTCATCCTTCCTTCTTCTCTAAAATCAATCAATCAAGGTTTTTTGTTTTGTTTTTTTTAATCAAGGTTTTTTTAAAAAGAGAAAGAATTTATTTAACTCAACCTCCTGGCTTAATGAAACAAAACCTTCTCTACTAATATGCTTTTATTTTTACACTAATGGGCTCATTTTATATGGGCCATATAAAAGGAAAAATGATCCTAGAAAGATTCTGGAGACATAAAACTTGTTAAATATGAAAAGCAGCAGTTGTAAGATTCATGAAGTTGGGGAATTAGGATTATCCCTTTCTCACAGAAGTGGGAGTGAGAATGTTGAGGAATAGTGTCACAGAATAGTTGGGTCCCCACTTGGAGACATGCTGGAGGGAAGGGGGAGTGATTGATCATGTTATAAAAACATTTTTTACCTAACCACAGCACAATAGTTATATTCCTGAAAATCTTCATGATTTAGAGTGTCCATGATTGAGATATTTAGATCTTACGGGAAAAAACTGCTTTTGGGTATTGAGGTCATTAATGAATCCAAAACACCTAGAAAAATAATCAACTTAAAGGCAGCACTAAGTAAACAGAATATAAATAAATTATATATTTTAAGTTAGTATTAATGGCTCCTGAATAACATCAATTTATTGATTGCTTGAAACTTCAGGATTTTATACTAGGTTGAAAAGAATGTAAATTTATATGAATGTTTGCAATTTTATTGTAATTCAGTTTTATTCATTAACCATTTTGGAAATTTATTTTGCATTAAATTTTGGGTTGCAGAAGGGAGCAACATTACAAAATGTAAGAAAGGAAATTGTCAAACCTTCATTTGTTATGGAAGAAACAGATTCAGAGATCCTTAATGACGTGGAGACAAAATGATTACTACACCTCAGTTGCATTTTATATCTTGGGGTGACTTTAAATTTTAAGGGACTCACTATTCACTAGGCCCTAGTCTAAACAAATCTTTTCTCAACTCTACCACACCTTTTAGCTTTCTCTTTCTATATTCCAGCATTATTAAAAGAGAAATTAATTCTTGCTGCTCTTTTTCATTATTTGTTTACTTCTGTGTAGTGATCCTGAACAATGACTAAGCTTAGACATTACTGTACTCCTTTTCTTAAAAAAATAAATCTTCCTCCCTCATTAAACCTGATTTCATTATTCACTCATTCTTCAGAAAATATTTTTATATGCTTTTATTGAGTTTTTTAGAGAGAGAGAAAGGGAGAGGGATAGAGAGATAGAAACATAATGAGAAACATCAATCAGCTGCCTCCTGCACGCCCCCTACTGGGGACCAAGCCCACAACTCAGGTATGTGCCCTGACCAGGAATCAAACTGAGCCCTCTTGGTTCATGAGTTGATGGTCAACCACTGGGCCACATCGGCCGGGCACAAATATTAAGTATCTAGTATTTTTTCAGTACTGTGCTGGGTATTAGTTAAAACAGTGGTATGTAATACCATCTCTTTACTTGTGGAGTTTATTTTAGAAGTAGAAACAAGACAAAATTAAAACTGCATCTCCTTCCCCAACACTCCTTATGATCCTTACTTTATTTATTTTTATAGCATTTATTAGCATCAGAGACTGTTTTTTCTTTTTTTATGCCGCCCACAGAAAGTTGGCTACAGGAGGGCAAGGGGTTCTCTATGTTTTGCTAAAGGAATGTTTGTTGGTTGAGAAGTGAGAAAATCACATCTGACTAGTCATCGTGTCCCCTTGACCATGCTTCTTTAGTCTGTCTGAAATAACTCCACTGCTGCTTCCTTAGTTCAAGCCCCTTTTAATTTTGCTCGATCCATTAAAGTAGCTTCTTAACAGTTTCCCTGCCTCTTTTGTACCTTTCCTCTTAAGACTGCTGCCAGTAATCTTTGTAAAATTCAAATCTGAATTTCTTCAGTGCTCTTCCATCTATTAAGGGTAAATCAAACTTCCTGGGTTTTCATTATTGGGTTCCTGCCCGGCCATCCAGCCTTGCTCTTTTTATTTCTCCGCCACTCCCTGGTTTTCATCTCAAACTTTATGCTCCAGTAGTACTAATATATTACATTTCTTCAAGGTTTTTCACAAAGTGTGGTGGCCAGACCAGAGGCATAGCTTGGCTTGGAAACTAGTTAGAAATGCAAATTTTTGCACTACTTCGGGCCTACTGAAATCAGAAACCCTGGGAGTGGGGTTAAGTCTTCCAGGTGATCCCGTTGTATGTAAATTTGAGAACCATTCCTTTAACCCCCTTTTTAAAAAAATTTATTTATTAAATAAGCTCAGCCATCACTTGCCATGTTTTCAGTGCCACTTTGTGTAACTCTTAATCTACATCACTAACCGTGATTTATATGTCAACCCTACTTGTGTATTGGACATCTTTCCTGGATATTCTTCCTGTACTTAAGACTCTTTAGGCTCTAAACAAAATTAATTTCCCATCTGCTGAAATCTGTTTTACATACTGTTTCCTGTTTCCTCCTTCAAAGGATTCCTCTGTGCAGCTTTGATTGTAGATTATGCAGTATTTTCTCATTGGTTTCTATTTTGTCTTGCTTGTCTAGAGAAACCAAAAGAAAAAAAAAGTGTTTTGTTTTTTTTTTGTAACTCTACTGACCAAAATAGGGTCAGGATTTTCCAGACAATAAAATTAACTATTGTTTATAGACCCATCTGTTGAAATGTTATTTTTATCTTATGCTCCCTAACTTTTTCCTTCCTTCCCTTTTCCCTTTCTCAGTCTTCTTTTTCTCTCTCATTTTAAGAACTTAGAGATTACTTAACTTTGAATCTTGACTTTAGTTGCCCAAGTTCTACCATAAAGCCGGAGGGATCCTTGATCTAGGCCTATAGAGTGATAGCTTGTACTGGCACCAAAGATTAAAGCCAGACAACATTTCAGATATCTCTGTGCAGTTCCTACAGTAGTTTCTCAGTAAATGTTTTTTTAATGAATAAGTGAGTGAGGAGGCATGTGTCAAAAGACTGGGCAGATCTCCAAGGTCAAAAAAGCATGGTGAGCTTGTGGCTAGATACATAAGGCACCTCAAGGAATTGAGCAATAATGACTGAGAAATTTCAACACTCAAATATTTATTAAGTGAATAAATGAAAGATTTTAAAGGAAAAAACAAATAGTCATAGTCACAGATGGTTAGATATTTCCTTCTCTGAGGGAGGAAGGATAAAATTAAATGTTATTTCAGTGTAAACTTTCAAGTTTAATTTTTAAAATTTGTGTGTATTTTTATGTGTGCTTCCCTATGAACATTCAGTTTGATACATATTTTTAATAATTTCATATTGATTTATGTATGTTATATTCTAATGGTTTGACCATATATCTTGGGCTATAACTTTTAGCTATTATATTTCTACTAGAGGCCCGGTGTACAAATTTGTGCACCAGTGGGGTCCCTTGGCCTGGCCTGCAGGATCGGGCTGAAACTGGCTCTCTGACATCCCCCGAGGGGTCCCGGATTGCGAGAGGGCACAGGTCAGGCCAAGGGACCTCACCAGTGCACCATCGGGGCCAGGGAGGGACGCAGGAGGTTGGCCAGCCAGGGAGGGCTCCAGGTCATGTCTGGCCCATCTTGCTCAGTCCCGATCGTCCAGACCCCAGCAGCAAACTAACATACCAGTCGGAGCCTCTGCCTCCAGTGGTCAGTGCACGTCATAGTGAGCGGTTGAGCAGTCTTAGCATATCATGCTTTGATTGGTTGAATGGATGACCGGACACTTAGCGGCTTTTATAGAACTTTTGTTGGGTTGGAAAAACAATATTATTAAATTGTTAAATTGCACATCTGAATTACCTTGCATATGAAGAATTTTTATACTTGAAATTTATAATATATATCTAGTCTCATAATTTGAGCTATTTTCTCATAAAGAATATGTATTCTTAAGTTATAATAATTTTTAAAAACTTTCTTTTTAACATACACACAGGAAACCTCGACCTGTCTCCCAGTTGGTTGCACAGCAGGTTACTCAGCAGTTTGTGCCCCCTACACAGTCAAAGAAAGAGAAAAAAGATAAAGTAGAAAAAGAAAAGAGTGAAAAGGAAACAACTAGCAAAAAGAACAGTCATAAGAAAACCAGGTAAATTTTTAAAATATTTTATGATACTTTTGAAATAACAAAATTAACCATTTTATCTCTTTTAATATAATATATACAAAGTAGAAGTAAAAGATTTTATCTCCTTTATTGTAAAGTATCATGAAATTGGTTTTGGTGGGGGTTTTTTGTAGTTTGAAAGGTGTACAGACAGTCCTCGGGTTACGTCGGACTTGATGTACGTCTTTCGTGGTTATGATGTCACCATCTCCCATTTATTTATTAAAAAAGAAAAGTTCTGTCATTTCAACATATGTACATATGTGCTTTATGTTTTTTATTATTCATTTATCACAAGTAAAGGTCAGGAATTGTTATCTTTCTTTTGAATTTTTTTTACTGTTCACTTCATTACTGCTGTGCATGTGCCTCATGTGAGTGACTTAGGTGCTTATGTAGGTGGGTTCCGACTAATGGCGAAAATAGCGTTGCCTTGCGCCATGGGAACGGATCTCCAACGTAACCCGAGGACCTACTGTACTAGAAGTTAAACACAGAGGCCACAAATATAAGCTTCAATGTGAGGATGTGTGTGTTTTTTTCACTAGATTAAAAGACATTTGTGTTTGAGTCATTTCTTTTTCACTTATAAAGCCAGGAGTAATATTCACAGTATTCACAGATATTTGCATGGGCTTTAATCAGTCAAAATGGTCATGGGTTCAGGCAGAATAGACAATCTTGATGCCCTTAGCCATGCACATCAGTGGAGTAACAGCCCCGCATATAATGTAACCTTAGCTGTTACCAGCTTCCTCTGTGATATAACTATATCATTGCCCTTCTAAAACATTTGTTTTAAAAAAAATTGGTAACCTATCTGCAAAATTATGATAAAGCTATAAAAGTACAGTTAAGAGCCAGCCTGTTACTTCCAGTGTCACAGTTTTTTGTCACGAAGAAGATTCATGAGTGAGTAGTTTGATTAATGTTAATGATTTGAAACATTTAATGATATTTTTGTGGCTAGATACACATGAATATAGAGTTTTAAACATAGATATGTTCATTTTGTTGTTCTGACCTAATTTGTTCATTATGTGCACAGAAAGTTAGTAGCCAGAAAAACTAGTTTAAAATTATATCATCTTTTGTGTGTTTAGGCCAAGATTGAAAAATGTGGATCGGAGTAGTGCTCAGCATTTGGAAGTTACAGTTGGAGATCTGACAGTCATTATTACAGACTTTAAGGAGAAAACGAAGTCACCGCCTGCATCTAGTGCTGCTTCTGCAGATCAGCACAATCAGAGTGGCTCTAGTCCTGATAACACAGAGAGGGGAATGTCCAGGTCATCTTCACCTAGAGGAGAAGCCTCATCATTGAATGGAGAATCCCATTAAAGTTTATTTTCTCCAATTTCTTAGTTCAGTCATATCATGCAAATATACAGATTATGCCAAGAAGTACCACATTTTCATGACAAACATATTCATGCACAATTCATAATTTGCATTTTACATAAAAGAGAAATTTGTTAGAATTTGTTAGATTTGATTGCAATCTATGCCTACCAAACATTTCCAGACTTTAACATTTTGGTCTCCACAATTAAAGGTGCCATGAAAATGTGGTTGAATTATTCATTATGCAGTGTTATTGGTAAGTCTATTTTCACTTTTAGTTTAGTGAATTCTAACACATAATTCTTGAATTCTCTACTATTGGCATGTAACGAAGTTAAATTTTTATAACATAGTGCAACCTGCCTAAATATGTATTATTTGAGAATTGTGAAACAAATAGTTATATGTATACAAGTCAAAGATCAACTTAATCAACTATTGCTGCAACAGGATTTTCTTAATGGCTATCCTCTTAATACACCTGCTGGTACTTGGTGTGGTTAAATAGAAAAACTGTTATTAAATAAAGAATTTGTATGAACCGTTGCCAATATTTTTGACACATTTTGCTAAATTATTTTTTCCTGAATTATGTTTCTGGTTTTACCTCCTTTTTTTTTTTTTTTTTTTTTTTTGCTTTTTTTTTTTTGCTTTCAAAACATTCATTTGTTGTAATGTTTACTCTCAGACTAGTAAACAATAAAACATTGATTATTTAGCTTTATAATTCAAGTTTAGTGCTATTGTCATTGAACACTGGTATTTTCTGTATTATATAAAATATTAAAATTCAAATAATTATAAGCATTTGACAAAAGCAGAAGAGAAAAGAAACCTGCCATATTTTAAAAGCTGCAATTTTGGAAAAGCTTTAACTTAATAGTTCTATCACTGTTTCCTCGCCCCAAACTTTATCCAGGGTTATAGAAGTATGAATCTAATAAATACAGAAATGACAACTATTGCACAGAACTGGGAAAAAAACTAGTTTTAAATCAGTTTAATTGGCCTCTTACTAAATGTAACAATTCTTACGAAAATCATAGTGCCCTATTTTCAGACACAACTGCCAGTTTATGCATTTATCAATATCCCAAAATAAATATTTACAGCTCCACTTACTATTATGTAAAGTTATGAATAAAATATTTTTATGACTACAGATTTTGCATTTTTGTTTACAACTAATAAAGTGTTTTATGTTATATTTAAAAATCAAACCTAGAAACCACACAGTACTTCTTAAGTTCTCCTAAGGTCTCCTGCTTTTTCTTAGCCATTTACTTAATATATAGCCACCTGTAGGAGACTTCTGCAATATCAATGAACTTAACAATATAACTTGGATACAAAATATCACATAAAGACATCATGATAGCATTTTAAGAAAAAAATAAAACTGTAGACCCTGACAGTTGTGATATATGGTGGTTTCATGTGATAATGTAATTTTCTGTTTTATTGCAGTACTTTTTACAGGCACAATGGTACTGTCCTTTTTGTAAGATGCTAGTTGTGAAATATAGTTAATTGCATACAGTAAAAGTCTGTGATTAAAACATTTATATACCTCATTCTTTAGTGTTGTTAAATGAAAAATTAAAATTTGTTTTTATTATCAGATACTTTCAGTGGAAATGCAACTAACTGGTTATGTTCTTTTAAAAAACATGAAGTTTTTTCTGTCTTATTTTTTTTTACCATATTTCAGATGTTTTTAAAAATATGCTTATTTTTAGACATAGCAAAAATTACAAATAATATTAATAGGGAAAATATTCTAAATTTTAAGTCAAAACTATGCTTTAGAGGTACTGGGTCTTCTGATGATATTCAAATGCTTTCAGAATGTATTTTCAATGGACTGCAAAAGAGACAAATCTGACAGAAGGTGGGATTTTACCTGAATAGGGGTGGCATAGTCATCTTTCTATATTGGTGGGGAGATAATGTAGCATGGAAATTAAAGTACTAACTGGTGTTTGGCATTTGAATCCCTGTTGTAGAATCTAAGTGACCTTGAGTAAATTACTCATTACTCAAGGTCACTTCCCATCTGTTAAACAGGGTGATGATAATCATATCTAACTCATAGGGTTGTTGGGACGATTAAGTGTCAATCCATATAAAGTTCTTAACAATTACCTGACACATACTAGATGCTTAATAAATGTGAGCCATTACTATCTTAACTGGTAAAATTTCATTACAAAAATACAAAAAAAAATTTGTAACAGAAATCATTTCCATACCCTCTTGTATGACAGAAAGGAATTGTGTTCTATAGGTTACACTGAATTTTCTGCATCAGATGTTTGCTCTGATCCTAGACCAGCTATTTTTCCATAATTAAAGAACCTGATGGTATGCACTAGGAGACAGCAGAAATGAACTGAGTTGCCTAGTTTAAAATTTTGTTTTCCTTTCATTAATCAATTATCTTCGCCTGCCTTCATTTCACCCTACCTCAAACACTTCCAAACGAGGAAGCAGGCCCAAATCCCACCTTAAAACCTAATATTAAAATATGCAAAAAGATTCAGAGCCTGGGCTTAGGGTGCATTTTTAGCTCTGTTTCATCAATTTACCCTGCGATAGTAGCAGTGGGTTCTTTTATCCAAATTCCATACAAAAAGAGAATTTGGATGTTTTTCAGAGTTTACTACCTTATTTTGATATAAGAGTGAAGATATAATTTGAGGCATACAAGAATACATACTCTTAAAGCCTTTTGTATTACACAGTAGAAATAGTTGACTTAATAAAGGTTTTATATTTATTAAATGCTTTCCTAAGATTATAGTGATGATAGCAGACAAAGTGAAAACAATGAGAAAGGAAGAAAAACCTCAGCTTTTCTAAGTTGATTGCATATTTATTACCTTTCTTTTAGGTAAAAACCCTTATTGCCTAAAAATGTAGTTTCTGCATATTATATGCTAAATGGTCAGAAGTTTTAGTTTCTACTAAGGCCCTTTTTTACTTATTTTTTTGGTCTGCAACTTATCTTTTTTCCAGAATCTTTTAAGACCTGATGTAGGAGCAGTGAAATTGATGACAATTTCTGTACTGTACTTTGAAAATTAAGCAAATAAAGAAAAGTGAGTTTGTGTAAGGATAAGGATAACCATAAAATAATACTTTGACCTGTTAGCATTGCCCTCCCCCCCTTAACCAGAGGCACCTTCAGTTGTCTGGAACAACAAATGTAGAAAATTGACGTGTAGAAAAGTTATCTGTGTCAAATATAGCTGAGCAGAATCAAGAGACAACGAAGGTTGCAGAATATAGGATCATTTTGTAAAAGCAGAAGGAAAAGAATTCCCTCAATTGCTATTGATGAAAAAATAAGCCCTACTAATATCAAAGGCAAGGGAGAATAAGAATGGGAGAAAATGAGGGAAGAAGGGGAAAAACAAAGCACAAATAATAGCAGAAATTAGAAAATGGGGCATTGGGGTGCTATCTGGATGATAGAGAAAAATCACTAGGAGCAAGAGGGGGTTGGAGGGGGAGGGAGAGAGAACAAATGGAACTTAGAATATGTTTGTCTCTGAAAATACTTGAAAAACATTCTGTGATAAATCATCATAATGACTCAGTCATTAAAGTTTCAGTGGTGTTTAGTAGACTTTTTACTAGGGCAGCAGTATGTGATAACTTTAGAACAGTTTTCTTCAAAGCCAGTTAATTTTAAAAAGCTGCCATAGAGAAGTTTTACCTTGAATTATATGAATACTTCCCTGAACTCACATCCCCACTAGCCCAGGTAATTTAAGCATTATGTTTCTAATATGGCATTCTACTTAGCCAGTGCAGATATTCCTGCCTTTATGGAATAGGCCAATCCTGGAGCATATGAAATGCTGTGACAATGCAGGTACTTCTATGAAAAAAATCAAAGATAGCTTTGAAAGCTTTCAGTGCCATGGACATTCCATGTTCTGAATCTTCTCTGGTGGTGATCCCTGCCCCAACGTTAGTAGGAGTTGTAGATTATAGTAACTGTTCTTCCGTTGTAATACTTTCAGTATTTTCCTAATCTAGGCTTTCTTTACATCAGTATTATTCAACTCTGAACATTTATTGGGTATGTTTTGTGTACAAGGCACTGGCTAGGAATTGGTTACCAAGAGGACAAAGATAGGGAACTCTTACAGGAGAGATTTGTGAATTATTACAATGCCATAACTGCAACAATAACTATATGTAAGATACAGAAGTAGCACTAAGCTGGGTGTATTTGTCACGCCTTTGCTTCTAGAAAATTCATCTTCACTGCAAGCCCACACTAGATCTCATCTCGTAGTTGCAGCTGATATTGGGTGTCAACAAGTAGTTTTAGCCAGCACCATTTCATTATTCCAGCTTGAATTTCCAAGTTTATAACTTTAAGCCATATAATGTGAGATTATTTATCACTTTCCCATACTTACTTTTAAAAATCAATGAACAGCTGAATGAGGTTTGCTATTGCCTTCTTATGAAGATTATTGAGGGAACATTACATCACTCAATCCAAATGGGAAATTGTATTCAAACCTGTTTCAGGAAAATATTTACTTCTCCTGATGAATCAATTTGCCTTTTTCTTATGGACAATACAAATCATTAATTGTCCTCGGTGTTTATTTTAGTTGTGAGAAATCTCATTAAAAGGAAGTTTGCTTTTAACAATTATGTAGGGCTCCATTGCCTGCATGTCTATATTCTGACTTGTTATTCTTCAGTCTTCTAGATTCTGATTTTTATCCTTGTGTCATTCTAAAGTTCCTCAAATTTCTTCTGTAATAAGGCTGAATAGTGACACTTTTTTAAAAAGCTAAAAACAAAACAAAACAAGGCTTTATTTCAAGGTGTGAGGATAAGCCCAACGGGAACTTCTTGGAGCAAGGAGCCAGTAAAGTGATGCCTCTCAGCTGGAATTCCTGATGAGTGGAAACAATAGATGAGTTTGACAGGTCTTGAGATTATACCTTGGTTTAGATCTGCTGACCTACTTAGAAGTCGGGAGTTGGGATGAAAGCTACCATACCATCTTTATACTGTCATTACTTCCTTTAGCAAGAGAATCAGAAACAAAACTGGATATCAAGATTTATTCACTTAGACTTTTTACTGTGTATTATTTTCATAGTCCTCTTTTAATTTATAATAACAGCATTGAATGAGCCTGTGTTTACTTTGGAGTCAGCAAGATTGAGAAGAGTTGGGCTACTGTTTAAAACCAGTTTGGGAGGAGAATACTTCAAAAATGGCAGTGAAAGTGTTTTTTAGAAAAGGAGAGTGGTCTGACTTCAAGAGCAGAGTGACCTGACCTCAGGCCTAACGAGGTAGTTTTTGATCTTTAATAAGAGTAAATAAAAAAACAACAAACCTATTGTTCCCAGTGCCCAATAAGATAAATAATTTAAGGGATATTTAAATTAGAGCAAAAGATTTTTTTTTACTTTATTAAAAATAAAATATGGAAACGTAAAAAAAAGAAACTAAACAACATAGGACTGAAGTGCGATGTATCGAATTCTTTATTTTCGGCCTTCAATTTTTGGGAACCTGGGTTAGGAGAATTTGTGCATGTGCTTTTTAAATCGAATTTTCCCCATGAGTAAATTTCCCTGCAAATCTAGCTTTTAATTTCACTGACATTTATTTTAAAGTAATCCTATATAATAAAAGGCTAATATGCAAATTGTCCCCTCCACCAGGAGTTCGACCAGGCTGCTTCCCCTCCCCCCTGCCAACCCGATCAGCCCTAATTGGGGTGGGCTGGCCAGACCCCACCTGTGCACGAATTGCACCGGGCCTCTAGTAAATTATAATCTATTGTAATAATCGGAGTGAAGATTGAACCAGGGAAAAATACAGGGATGGTCCATAAGATAGTCTTTACTCCCTCCCTCACTCCAACTCCTCCATACTCTCCCTTGTGGATGAAATGCCAGCTAAATTCTGGGATCATTTAGGAGCTAAGGTGTCCCCATTCATTGGATTTCTACTACCACTTTTTCCAATCTTGTGGCCTGTAGCTGAGCTTTTTTAGTTTTGTACTCTTTCATTCTCTTCCTGACCCTCCTCTTTCCCCACATTTACTGGTCTGAACGAACACTTAAAATGAAATACTTTTTGCTTAACCTGACTATTATTTTCCAACTTTTTCCTTCAGTCCAACAAGTTTTCTAGGAAGTAGACTGTGGAAAATGGAGAAATTTCATTAGAGGCCTACTGGAGGGGATAATTTTTACTTTTAGTCTGAGTTTCTGATTCTTTGTGCTCTATAACTAATCTGACTTGTCTTTCTCTGATTTTAAATTTTATTTGAACCTCCAAGATCAGTCTAAGAGGTTTTCATATAACATTGTGTTGTTGTTTTTTAATTTGTATCACTCAGGTTAGCATTTATTTGTTCATAGT